GAAGTGCCTGTCCTGTGGCAGTGTTTGGCAGACTCCACCTGGCTGAAGTAGGGGAATCCATTGGAATGCCATGTCATGCTGAGTATGCAGAGCTCCAACTGAGAAAGAAGGTGCTCTCTTTGCCTAAATTCCTTAATGAATCCAAACAATGAATTTGATTCAGTCTTTGTGATTAATTATGTGAATTTGTGCATTGAAAGTTGTTTTAAAATAATATGGGTCTTCAGCCTGCCAGGTAGCTAACCCAAGCTTAGTTGGATGGTTCTGTTACCTCTTGGTAGCTCTAACTTGAAGACAGGTGGGGAGGCAGGGCAGAGGAAGGGCTTGGGTGTTGTTGGGATCAGAGTGCAGTTGGTATCACTTGTATACACATGAATGAAATGATCACATGTGCAGATGAAGCATATATACAATGTGCTTCTGCTAGGAGCTGAATGCAGAGTTTGTGGCTTGTTGGTAGTACCATTATTACCATCAAGAGCACACATCTCTTTTTACACCCTTCTTCCCCCTATTTTTTTCTCTTTTGGATGACTGAAGCTCTACTCTGTTCAATTCCTTCTACTTATCCCATTTAGCAATGGCTATAGTAGTTATGTTTTGACTTGCTTTGCAATTTCCTGTCAATTGATTTTAGTCTGTGCACATGAAACCTATTTTTCAAAATGGTTAAAACCACTTGAGTGCAACCTAATTTCCTTCTGCTTATCTTTCCCCAAATCCTGTTGAGGTAGCTACATGCACAGTGCAGGGTTTGGTACTAGTTTTCTGCTTTTATTCTGTTTGTGGGAGGACAAATGATAGCCAATCTTTCATAGAGTGAGACAGATGCTGACAGATGTTATCTTACATAAAATCTGCTGATATAAATGCAACCTACAAATGCTTTTTGGGAAAAAAAATCCCTGACAGAATGAATTTGTGTTCTGATCAACATTTTGCATGATAACCTTGAAGCTTAAAAATAAAAACAAACCTGGAGCCCCTCCAAACCAAACCAAAACCCTTTACCTTGTTGAGTGTGTAGACTAACTTAAGCAAGGTAACTATTTTACAAAATTTCTTCTGTGTTGAGGGAAACAGAACTTTTAACATGTGATACATAAACAAAGATCTGTAAGAGATATTGGAAGGAAGTGGCTGGAGCACTTAGGCCTCCACAGATATATTTATGCTTGCCTAAAAAAAAAGATTTATTTCAATGTGGGCACCTAACAAAATCAACATAGGTCACTTTATGAAGTTATTCCCCTGTCAACTGAATTTTGTTAGCTGTTTCTAAGTGCTGTTTTACATCTGCCCAGATTCCAGCTATTTGCATCAGCTTACATGTCCTTCACTAGCTATGGGAATGCAAGTAGTTATCATGAGTTATTGCTGCTTAGGCCCACAGTAACTTATTACATGCTCATAATTCAGTCCTGTGTTTGAGCCCTGACCTGAGTTACCCAAGGTTACATAAATAATCTGAGATAGAGCCATGAAGAGAGGCCAGGTTTCTTGACTCCTGACACTGTATCCTTACCATGAGGCTGTTCTGACTCAGTTCAATCAGGTCCTGCCTCCTAAACCAGTGTCCAATTAACAGACTCCCTCAGGTAATGTTTTTGGCTGTGTTACAAAACATGTCTTATGTATGTGGTACTTCTATTGAAACATCTTCCTTCTGTTGTGATGAAGGTGGATCAGGAACTACCCCTGTTTTATGTTGATAGTAATGTATTTTTTCATGTGTGGATCTTTACTGGAGAAGATATAGGTAGTTATTTTTGCATCTGTGAGTTTACCAGTAATTTAATCTGTCTGTGTATTATAAAGAATGCAGATTGGGAAAACTGCAATTCAAAAAGACTTTACATTTGGAAAAGAGTTGATTGTGCCATAAAGAATGGGTAAGCATGAAAAATTGTCAGTTTGTCACTGAGCATCGATAAGTGGTCTCGACGTTCAAAGGAGAGTGCATTTGAAAGAGGGAATATGACATTATTGCATTTGTGTTCTACGGGAATCACGAGGATCCACATTATTTGTGCCTGTATGTACTATTTCCAGTAGGTGGCTGACTCTCTCTTCACAATGACTTAAGTACTATAAAATAACAGCTGTCACATCTCATGAGAACCACGGTCTATTCTAACTATATCATAAATCTGTTTATTTGCTGCCCATGAAGCCTAAGGACCACAGAAATGCTACATGGCACAGCAGTATTCCACTATGAAATAAGCAACAAGCCGTCTTGTAGTGCATTTTTTTTTTATAAGCCATACAATTCTTTTCAAGGCACATAAATACACAAATCAGGTTCAGAAAATATATTAGTCATCTAACACATTCTAGAAATACAGGATTGTTTCTTCTGTACATACCTAAATGTTTTACTCTATATGAAGCCAACATGTACATGGGATGTGATTCTGCCCAGAAAGTTGTGCGGGTTTTGGGTGTTGGTTTAGTGTTGGTTTTTTGTTTGATTGTTTGTTGTTTGTTTGTTTGTTTAAAATCCATTGATAGGCTGGTCTTTCTGTAAAGATTGAGTTTCTTGTTTCTGGAACTGTTATAAAGAGCTGTTACAAAGAGGGAAAAAAGTAACCTCTGAAATTATGTTGCATTAAAAATGTGAAAGAGCAGCTTTAAGGGTGATCTCTTCACACTTATTTCTTGTATAAGTACATTAGCAATATCAGTGAATATCGTTACTTCCAGTGAAGCTTGAATGACTGAACAATAAAGTGGCAAATGGAAAACAAAGTAGGTGAATGTAAGGTGATGTTCTAGGGGTAAAATGAAAAATAATGGGCCTAGATTTGACAATTACCAGTAGCAAGATGTTGTAGTTATAGGGAACAGGTCCAGGAAAACATCATCTCTGTGCCTAGGAGCAATGAGCAAAACAAATCAGATTTTAGGGAGGAGTAAACAAAGAAGAGAACATAGTTATGCCACTGTATAAATCTATGGTTTACCTACCTCTTGACTACTGTGGTCAGTTCTAATCCCCTGATCTTCAAGACACAATTTTAAAACTGATTTGGAAAATGGCAGCAGAGATAATTAGTTGGAAAGGCTTGCATAAGAGGTTTGACTGAGCAGATTAGTGTTCTCCAGCCATGAGAAGTGTCTATGTAGAGGCCTACAGAAACAACAGTGGTAACAAGAGAATGCATAGGGATTAACTGCTCATAGTCTTTTGGGCCGCAAGGACTAGGCAGTTTCAGGAAAATAGAGAAAATAAGCAGTTCTTCATGCAGGAGATGATAGACTAACAGAACTTGAAAAAAAAAGACTATGAGACAGGTTCGAGGTGGAACTGGGCAAATCTTGAAATAGTTTTCTGTTGTGGTTTAATAAGCAGATAAACCTCTTCAAGCTCAGGAATTCCCTGAGCAGAAAAATTTGGATCTCAGGGCAGCAGAAGGGAAAAACACCAAATGTGCTTACCCTGTGGTAACCTTCCAAGTGGTTCACTACTGAAACAGTTGGAGACAGAATACTAGAGTTGGAGGACCTTTGGTTTGAGCTAGTGCAGACATTCTGATGTTTTAAGACTCTTAAAATTCCATACTTTAATGAAGTTTGTTAATAACTCTGTTGTTTTTTTTGTGTTCACCTGCCAGCTTGTTAGTATGTCTTCTAGAAAGTGCAGTTTTGCAGGTACATTCATACTCAGCTTAATGTGACATTCTCTGTGCAAATACAGCTAAGTCTCTTCCAGTACTGTAGTTTTTCAGGACAAATTCTGACTACATGCTTAGTGGAATTCATTAGTGTTATTAATTTTCTTTATTAGAAGAAAGAATTTTTGTCTTGTCTTTTTCACCCATATTGGTAATTTCTTATGATCTAAGACTACTATTCCTGGTCTTCTGAGAGCCAAATTATAAAATTAATGGATAGCTGCAAGTTATACAATTGGAGTTCTACAGATCATAATTAAAGAGAAAATTAAGGAACTGGATCAGGTTAAAAGAAAGGCAGATATGTTTAAGAGAACAGTAGAAGAAATCAAGTCTTATTTGCATTCCTCATCATGTTTTTTACAGTTTGCTATGGAAGTGTATATGCAGAAGTATAGAAAATATGAAACAGAGATTTTTTTAATATTTCATATGCCAATTTGACACCCAATCCTGTCTTGTGAAGTTAGACTGTCATTAAGGTTTGGTCAGTGTATTATTACTTACCTAAAATGGTTTCAGCTAATTTTGCAGAGGTCAGCAGTTGAGATTAACTGTAGCTTCCTTGGTTAGTTAACTTATTAGTATGATATTTTCATATGTATCTCTAAGAATTATATATGTATTGCATTCTCCCTAAAAAACCAAATATAGGACCAGGCCCACCACAAGGCTAAAAAACTTCTCAGAAAAGATGATCTTAGTTCAGATCCCCTTTTGTAAATGTGCGTCTCTTCTACTTGATTGGTTTTCTAAATTCTGTGATTTATTCAGAGGTGTCTGAGATTTCCTCTCATTTTTTACTTGCTCTTATACAAATTCATATACACAAGTGTACACACACACAGAGTTCCTTGTGCTGCTGCATGGTGGCTCTCGGGCCTTATAGTTACTGTGCACCCCTGTGCTCCAAGTCTCTAACTCTATGATGCAGAACTGTAAGCACAGATGTGCAGATACAGCCATGCATAGTGTGAGGTACGTGGAGCGCTGTCAGAGCGCAAGGTGTGCTGTTCCCCTTGCCATCTGGAATTAGTGGATGTTTTGAGAGAGCAGCCGAGCAACACTGAACCGAGCTCCAAGAGACATGGATATGTCCCAGCCTGGGAATACTGGAGCAGAGGTGGAGAAATCCCAGCATAATAATGCCCTGACAGGAAGGATTTCTGACCACAGACTGTTTCTCCTCAAATTTCAGTTATTTATCACAGGCTGTATTTGTAGGAAGTTAATCCTCCAGGCATAGGAGGGAAGTCAATGTTTACCAGCTCTGTAGCTAATGATATACTAGAAAGGTTCAGAATTTTTCTACATAGCACAGAACCACAGTGTCCACAGTGTGGACCTGGAAGACAGGCAGCACACTTTGCTTTAGATATGCAGCTAACTCCAAGGGGAGGATTCTTTGGAGGTTCATTCTTGTTTCCTATTGTTTGCTATTACTATCTATTTAGAAGACTCAACCTCAAAGTCATCATTTGGACCAGGGGAGGAAAAAAATCATCAATGGCTTCTCGAGGGATTCCCTAGCAGGGGTTAGGAAGCTCTGTGAGTCCCCAGAGTGACAGTCAGCGGTCTGTGTGGGGTGGGGGTAGGCATTTAAAAGCTTCAACTCTACTTAACCTTGAGTCTAGAGTTATTTGCAGGGATGGGCAAGAGAGATATCTGAGAAACAAGACTAGGCAAGGATCCAGTGATACATGGTCACTGCCAGTTCTGCTGGCACTTACTCAGAACATAACTGGTATGATTTAAGCAAAGCCCTGCACTATAAGTAACTGTGAGGTTCTGGAAACACTGCAATCAGAATGAAGAAATGGGTGATAGCTGTCTTGACTTGTTTTAGTTTAACAGACAGAGGAAGCTTTCCATAAAAAGACTTCTATGATCTAATTTTTCTTTCCTTGGACAAAGGGTACATGAATAATTCCATAGACCAGAGGATTTAAATACGAGTGACTTATATGAGAGTTTGAGCAGTTCAGGGCCTTTTCCCAAGGGTGTTGTAAATTTGCCAGAGTTTACTTCTGTGTAAAGTATGGTGGAGAACTCTCAGGTCATTGCAGGCTGATGGGACCAGAGGATTTGTGAGTCACTGGGTGCAAGGTTGTGAACTGATAAATCAGCTGAATATCATAGGCAGTCTCTGTCTCATCGACAGAAATCTGTACCTTTACAGTCCTATTGTCTGGAAATGTGGGTAGGTGATTACAGGTATCTCTTATAGCAAGGTTTTAGGAGAATGTATCTGTTAAAGAAGATGAAAAATGAAGGTGAGTGTGGCAGTAAGTGTGACGAGGAGGGGCTAGAGCCTAACTTCACATCCCCACTGAATACACAGTGCTCAGGAAGCAGTCTGTGTTCTACCTGCACTTGCTGCTAGCTCTCACATTAATTAACAGTCACCTCCTTGGCATCATACTTTTGTCCTTGAATGACAAGGGTAACAATTTTGTTTCTCTGTGATTGTTTTCTAATGGAAAAATATATATACTTTTTAGGCAATGCAGTTCACGTGGGGTTCACCTAAATAGCAGTAGGGGCAGGAGCCCCTGTCCAGGCACAGGTTGCCTCCAATAGCACTGTTTCTGGACTTCTTGAACTGCTCCTGAGCAGAGGAGACAGCTCACAGGTGCTCTCATCTGACTGTTTAAGGTATGCAGATGTTTTTTACTGTCTTCTTCAAAAGGCCAGCAGAACCATCCCAATTCCACTTGAGTACTCTCCTTGACAATGGAGCCTGAGGGTGGTGGTGGTGGTGTGTGTGGGTGTACAGTTGGCCAGGAAGAGATAAAGAAAAGTCCTTAGGACTTGGAGAAGATATTTTCAAAAGGTCGTGTCTTTTCAAAGAAATACATTATCTATTTTAAAGAAATCTATGTGAAATAAAAAGGAAGATTTTTCATTCTTAGTTTTATAATAAACTAATGCTTTTCTTGAGGGAGGTAGATTTCTTTCTATAAAAATTAATAGCTTTAAATTAGCAATTCGGCAATGAATGGAGAACTATCCCCAGTACTTCCAGATTTGCACTTTGACCTAATGGGAGATTAAAACTAGATTCTCAGCATATTTTCATACATAACTTGGTGTGCTAATAACTTGCTGGTCCTGTTCAGTTTAGAAGGACCATTTGAATGAATCAAGTTGTTTGCTGATACTGTTATCTAGGAACTGATCCAAAACAAGGAGGTAGGTGGTCCAAATACTCCTGAATGTTCTGGCAAATCTAATTTCAAAACTTTCTGCAATCAGGGGTATGACCTGGCAGCTGATGGGAATAGCAACTGAGCATTCAGCAGCAGCTCTCCAAATGTCTCAGGCACAGCTTTGCTGACACTTCTTTTTTATCAACTTGAGAGCTATCATGCCTTCAAAAGAGAATGGGCCACACATGAATTTAAAATGCTGAAAGGTAACATTGAAAAAATTGATTTCTTCCCAATCCCACATTTCAGCTTCAGACACGCAGAACATATAGCGTGTCTGTACAGGCTTCAGCAGTGCCCTTGGAATACAAAGACCCACAGTCTGAACTGTGCCAGTGCTGCCTTGAGGGTAGTCCAAGGAGATGAGTTAGAAAAGGAGTTGCACTGCTCTGCAGCTCCTGGTTTCTGGAAACCAGCCAGGCTTGGCATACTCGAAAGCAGTTAGGGAAAACAAAACAAAACAAAGAGCAGGTCAATGTAACATTGCTGAGAGCCTGGCATAGGCCCTTTATTGTCTGAATTAACCTTTCACACAATTCTTTATAAAGTTGCTGTTGCCCTACTGAGACAGTATCATTTTTTCTCTTCTTTGTGAGGAGAATCTGAGACTGAGTGTTTCCTGAGGTGAGGCCAAAACCAAAGAGAAATGAAAACAAGAGTGTGTTCCTGGAGGCCAAGGTAAGTGTCAAGCTGGGGCATCTGGTCTCTGAAAGACTTAAAGCACAAGCTGCTACAGTGAGGAATAAACCTGTCTTTCCTTTGGATACTGCTAGCCAGCTCTGCCTGCGTTTTGTTCTTTTCTGTCTGTGGCAGCTAAAATCAACATGGCATAAGAAAGGCAATGAACCAGGAGCTTAACTAATTACTGAGTGTCTTCTGGCAAAGCCACAGTAGTTTGTCAAACCCTGCGCTCTCTTTAGTGTTGTTCTCTTACTGCCATGTCTGAAAAATATAAACTGCTAGAAGAGCTTTTTTTACATTAACAAAGAGGAGGTTATTGATGTACCTGTATTAAACTGGAGGAGGAAGAGGAAAGGGAGGTGGGCGAGACTCTGCTTTCTTGTGTCCAGACATGCTTATGTTGGCAGAAGAATATCAGCTTTCAAAGAGAAAGCTGAAATCTGAAGAGATATAATAATTCAAACCCACAGCATTTGCTGATGGGATTTTTATGTTAAAAGAATACCCCATTTTGTTGCAGAGGAAATGTGCATTTTTAGGTCTCATATAGGATCTTTCAATGCCATCATCTGATTGCTAGTTGTGCAATTTAAAATGAAGACGTGATGTATTTCATGCTTTGCAAAAAGTCTGAAAAACTGAAACTCCAGGAAAACAACATTTCTAATGTTTCACCACTGGATGGAGACAGCACTCCAACTCTTGTGAGTAATTACTAACGGGACTGTAATGAAATCCCTTGTGATAAAGAGATTGAATAGATTAGTAGACTGCAGCCATAAACAGTGGAACGCCAGCTAGATTTATGGCAGAAAATTTACTGAAGGGACTTCCTTTAGATTTTTGCTTGACCTATTTTTGTGGTGAGAAGAGATGAGATTTAGTTGAAAAAAATTAATTCCCCTACTCTCTCCACACAAAGCAGTAACGACACAGACTAGCAAGAAATACTGTAAGATAAAGTGACGCTTTCTAGGATTCTTTTTTTTTTTATACCAGATCACAGTTTATTTTTCTTGACAGGAGGATCCTTCAGTTTTGTACGTCTGGCCTTGAGGGTTCAATGCTGCTTGTGGCAGCTGAGGTTACTCCAACAATTGTTGCAGTGAATGTCATTTTTGCAATGGAGATTCTTCCCTTACTCTAAGGCAGCAGAGAGGAGGTCACTGGGTAGGGACAAACAACAGAAGGAATTCCCACCAGCCTGCAGGCTGGTAGGAAGATTTTGAGAGATCACTGGAATTAAAGGGCGAGAGCACAGATGGGGGACAGCCTGCCCCATCAGGGTTCATTTCTCTCATCAGGTATGTTAAAGTATTTTCACACATTTTCTTCCCTCTTTGTGTGTGTGTGTGTGTGTGTGTGTGTGTTTGTATGTGTGCATGTGCATGAGAGAGAGAGAAGGAAGGAAACTCTGTGGTTGATTTTAGCCCAGTTTCTTACTTAATCATAATTTGCTTCCCTGTTGCCAAGCAATAACTTTTGAATTTGGTAGATGAAGTGAAGACAAATTAAATGAGTTCAAAGATAATTATATTCTTATACATTTTGTGAAATTAGCCAGCCAGACAGATTGGAAACTCCTGAAGTGCCCTGACTAACGGCTGAAGAGTGAGCTCATATAGTAGATAACCCACTCTGGAGAGAGTTCTTATAAGTGCCCCTTCCCTGGGAGAAGCTTTAATCAGAGCTTGCAATCAACCACAAGATAAAAAAAAAAAATATAGACAGCCAGACTTCATCAGTTCAAGAAGCACTAGAACTTTTCCTTAAAAACAACAAACAGAAAAGCTGACCTATTCCATTAGCACTTCTCCTCTGCCTCCAGGTCACAGAGTCTGTACAGAGTTTAAAAGCAGAGAATTTTCACAAATAAAAGCAGCAACAAAGAAACTTACATCTATTGAGACAAATTTTTCATGTGTCTACTTGTTATTTTGAGGAGATGTATTTTCAGACAGCTCTGACATAGCATGGTGGTTATTAGGGTGAAGCTCTTTGGGGAAAGGGCACAGGGAAGGGAGGTTGAATTAAAGAGTGTGTGACAGCTTCTAATGTATGCCTGTCACTTTTGTTCCCCAAATACAGTATCTGTTGGATCAATTATATGATGATTTACGTGAAAATGTCTCAATTTTTTCTGAAACCAAGGTTTCAAATGTAATTCCTTTGCCTGTAGCCAAGTCTGATGTCAATTTTCAATCATAGATTCTTAAAGAAGGTATTTATGTGTCTTATTCCTGGGTGAAATTCTCTGCTGACTTCACCATCCAGGATGCCTAGGAAGATGTCTGGTGCTGAGACAAGAAAGCTGGTCAGCATGACCAGTGGAGTCCTAAACCAGCACCATGTTTGGGCATGAGGGGGAGGTGGCCTTCTGCAAGTAGGATTTGTTTGCAGTGATACAGTTTGCAAGTAGGTGCCTTGTTATTTACTTATTCGACTGCTCAGCTACTGGGTATGTACCCACCTCATCTGTTTTTCATCTGGTAGGCTACTGTTTGCAGAAAGAGGTGAATATAGAAAGTCTTGAAAACTGGCTTATCCTCAGTATGTTGTAGGAACACTGACTTGCAGAAGGCTTGGATTAAAGGGAATAAGACTCTGTTTTTCTGCCCACAATACCTTTTGCTGTTTCTGAGGAAAACCCTGATGTGGGAGCTGGTCAGGGAGGGAACATGTTGTTATATGGCCAGTCAGTGTGAAATTATGAGCTGTGACTTTGGTTGGTAATAACAAAGTGTTCAGAGGAGAAACTCTCTGAGAAAAGAAATATTTCAAAAACACAACTCTACTCTAGGTGCAATATAGGACCAGGAGGATGTATTGGATAGAATTAAGAGGCTAGATTTAGACATCAGAAACCCAAGAAGAGACAGGCCAGGCACATCAGAAGTACGTGCTTATAGTGGTGATGAACACAGATGTGCTGTAGATACATTAGGAAAATTATGTGCATAATTGCACATATAATGGTGTAGAAATGCTAGTAAATGCTTGAGGAGAAGGAGGAAGGTTTTTTTAGCATTCTGTCTCCTAATGTGGGATTTGAAATCAATTATATCTGGTTCCTTCTCAGCTTCTTCTTCCTTCAGCCTGACCCATTTCCATCAATACTGAAAAGTTTCCCACTCTTGCCAAATGACCACTCCACGTGATTAATTACTCAGGTCACAGCCATAAGGAGATCTGCCAGATCCATGATTGTCCCATAACTTTGAAACTGTCTCAACCAGTCAGCACGCCATTTGCTATGGCAAATAGGAAGATCTCTGGTATTTCGTGCTAGGAAAAAAAACCCCACAAACTAACAAATTCTCATGTGGAAAGGTAACCACAGGCTTTCTGAGAGCCTAGGATGCATTCTTGTGTATGAACAGCTAAAATATCCTGAGTTTGCAGACAGTGCTGTAGCATATGACTGTCAGAGTAGTCATGCCAAATATCTTTCTGTTTGTGTCCCTGTGGGACCTAGCTATGGAAGCTCAGTACTCTCAGTAGTGGAAAGGGAAAAGTAACACCAGGTACACCCAGCAATATCTAGTAACTTATTGCTTAAAGCATTCCCAGAAGGGAGAGAGGCACACCCAGTAATACTTAATAACTTACTGCTTAAGGCATTCCCAAACAGTAAGGTAGGTCCTACTGATGACTTCCAGGGATTTTATCTACTTAAATGCCCTCTGGCTTTGCCTTAAACTTGGTCTTAGTTTATTAAGCAATGTTGTTACTTCAGCAGTTTTCTGCATGATGAGCCATGAGAACATAAGCCTCGCTGTGCCTGGTGTCCTCGGTGACGTGGTAACAGCCAGGACAAGGTTCTTGAGAACCTTCATGACACAGCAAAAGTGAATCTGAGAGTTCAAAAGTAAGGGGCCTATGCAACTATCCCCGAGATTCCAGTTTATTACACAAGGAGTGAATATGTGTTTTTGTTTCAATCAGCAATTTTTTTTTTTTTTTAATTTTTATTTTTATGAAAAGTTCATTTTAGAGTAAGCTGATACCACATTATGGGCACAGTCACATTCTGGAAATTTTTTTTGTAAGGAAGCAAATGGCAGTGTTGAAAGCATATAGCCCAAAGCAACAGGTGGGATTTTCTTTTTTTTACCCTGGAGTGGTTGCTGACCTCCCTTTAAAATAAAGGATTTAAAATTAAAGTGAAGATAAATCTTAAACTGTACCTAGAGAACAACATATATAAAAAGAACCATAAAAATTATATTGTAGTGTTTCAGTCTGGCTCACAGTGAATTGCCATGAACCTGTTAAATGTTTCATTAATTAAATATGCCTCTACTCACATATAAAATGTTAAATCAAGTGGGAGGGTTCCTCTGCTTTATCTAAAACTATGCAAAGTACAAATATAGGCATACTGTCTTGTGTGATGTAGGATTTCTACTGATGTCCTGTTTGCTTACTTTATGTTCTTTCATTTCACTGGTTGTCACTCCTGTTGTTTCACAATGCAAAAATACAGCAGTCTGTGAGTGGGTCTTGTGCTTGGGAACAGGCCCATTCACAAAGTGGTTGCAAAGTGTCTGGCCCTCTGATAGTACTTATCTGCTAAGTAGTATTTCTATTCATTGACACTGGGTGTTTTGTAGAATACTAAGGGAAGAGGTAAAAGCAGTAGGGTATGCTCAGCACACTCAGGCAGCTCTGGAACTACCAGAAGAGAGATCAGACTGGGCACGACCTTGGCTACCTTAAAGACCCTCTTTGTGTAGGCTCTCTGCTAACAAGAGGTAATGACAGCTGCTCCCAGGGTAAACAGCGCAGAGTAATTCAGGAATGCAACAGCGATTGAATGCTGTTTACTGATTTGTGCTCTTAAATAACCCAGAGAAATTTGTAGCAATATTATAGTTTCTACTTGTCACTCAAAATTATGGCGGTATCATTGCAAAGGAGGAAAAGTTCCTGCTGTGTTAGCAACTCATATTTGTGGTACAGGAAAAGAAATTAAACCACCAAGCTCACCAGTCATTCTGCCTTTGTCCAGGTATGTTGGTATTCAAAGAGTCCCAGGATGATATGATGATCTTTACAAAGACATAATGATCTCATTGATGACAGAGCCCACCCATCATAAAGCCCACTCAGAAATGAGTCACTGGTTAAAAACTACTTTTAAACAATCCTCAGCTGCCAAGTCGAGCACTCCATTCTGCTAATGTTCCAATTAGCCAGAGCCAGGTAGATAACAGCAGGGAGCTATGCACAGAGAATACAAATACAGGAAAAACTTCCTGATGTGCCATACAGAAAACAGAAGTAGAAGAGAATAGTGCTGTAAGGAATGCTTCTTCTTATCTCACCGTGCTCTCTTTTGCACTCTATTTTCCACACATTACCTTATGAAATTTATTCCTAAATCATGACAACAACACAGCTTTTAATTCAGTGATTTTTCTTTACAGAGTAGGAATTGAGATTCTAAATTGCACGTTAGTGTTAATTTTGGAAAACATAAGTACCTTGTTGAAGATTGCAACAGAAATAGTATCAATAAATTCTCATCTCTCTGGTTTCAATTTAAAAGACAAATAAATAAAATCTCCAAAACACTAGTTTTCCTATTGTCAGTATGGGGTTCCCATTCCATAATATATATATTAAAAAATAGTGTGTCTTTGTAAATGTGTGTCAAAACAGTATGCATATATACATATGTATATCTGTGTGTGTGTATATACACATTCTGTCATGCATATATAGCAGCTTCATTTTAGTGTTCTTTAATGAGCCACAGACACACAGAATGTAATAATTAGGCATGGAAGAAAAATTAGAGAGAGTTCATTCCCGTTGCAACAGGAGATTATAATCCTCAGTGCAGAATGTGTGTGCTATTAGCCTGATACCCAAGAACATACCAGAATGGTTTCCCATGTGAAGATGTTGGCAGGAATATTTGCTTTTATCATTCTTGTGCAGGATCTAATAATGCAGAGTGAAAGATCAGTCTGGAGAGGAAGTAAAAGTTCAGCACAGTTTACTTCTGTTCTTTATACTAATTATGTCTATTTTATTTTTGCCTTGTCTTACCTCCTTTCCTCTATTCACATCTTTCTGTTACATACTAAGGACAGAGCCAGATCTCCCTTTTAAACTTCGGTAGAGGGCCTCTTACCATGGAGCTACATTAGAGCTTCTATGCTGAGGTAAATGTAAGTCTTTTCAACAATCTGAAAGCGGGGCAAGGTGACATGATCAGCACCAGAGTAGTGCCGTCTTTAGAGTAAGCCTGGCTAAAGGCGCAACTGGGGTCACTCAATTGCTCATCTTGTTCTGAAAAAGAGAAATGAGACTCAGTTACTCAAGGGAATAATTGCCACCCCTACCTGTAAGCCACACATGGGGCTTCCATCACCACAGTTCTCCATTGTGTATGATATTTGCCACACAAAATGTTCAGAGTACCAAAATGGCCTGGTTGGGTCAAGATGGATGGGCGCTCCTACTTGAGAGAAGGAAAAGGGAGAGCTATGCTGGGCTGTGCTACAAGACAGAGGCTGTGCCTTATGCCTCCCAGGGAATGAGTTCCCAGGTGCACAATTCAAAATAGCCTCTGCTAAAAACAGAAGAAAGAGCTCAGCTTGTCTGAGACCCCACAGTTTGCAGGGACTTGAGAGAAGCTGACAGAAGCGCGGAAGGAAATGGCATCAAGAGGCAAATAAGTGATATTTTGTCTCTGATTATTTTGCTAGTGGATCTAAAGAACTAAAGCCCACTTTTTTCCTCCTGATACTGTGGCACTGCATAAAATTATCAGTTTCCACTTCAACAGCCCAATGATTTTTTTGCAAAATGAGTTACTTCTCAAGTCATTTGTATCCATTATTCATGTGTGCA